AGCATAGAAACACAGACAGATGCTATACATATGACAGGCCTTAAAAATGCAAGCATATATGCATAACCCCCCCATTACATTCAAAATACAGAATTATTTATTCAAAATAAAAATGTTGTTCAAAAATAGTGAAGTCATAAGAAACTCCTGTAAAACATCACTATTTAATATCTGTGAATTTTTTTATTCCACTATCATCATATATTTCTTGTGGAATATTAGAAAAGCTTTAAACAGTGGTGGGGAAGTGCCTAGTGTGGTTTGGCATTCTTGTCCTGACTAAAGGTAGTATCTTGGAACTCAATCTAAAGCCATTCAAAACCCTCCACTGAATCAATTGGTTTTGCATCAAAACAAGAATGTCAGAGATTCTTTAGTAATAGAAGTACTTTGTCCCACTAAGAAGCTTTGCAAAAGCTTCTACAAGGTCAGGAATATTACCTGGTTTACATAAGAAAGTTGTCTTCCATCCAAACACCAGCTCTTGCGTATTTCAAGCCTAAAGAAAGAGGATTTGAGTCACACTCCTTTTATATTTGCAAAGAGAAGAATAGAAGAATGTACCTTTTGGGGAAGGCTGAGCATTAAGAAAAAGGTGGTCCTTTACAACCAGCCCTAGGTTTAGCAAGTTGGGATGTTATGATACAAGTCAACAGATCTGCTGAAGATATAGATGTGATGAATTCACATATCATACACAGAGTATTCTTTCCCTCCTCAGTGTTTAGACTCACGCAAGAAAACCCATGAAGGCACCACTATATCTAGCGTTACATTTGAGTTAAAGCTGGATTCGAACCTCTGTGCTGTGCACATGGGATGTACTTTCTGTGTTCCTGTATGGAAAACACCTATTCAATGTACGTACTAAAATGTACACAGCACATAACGGTAATGAATACACACATGCGAACATGTGCACATCTTCGCATCAATGCAATTAAATTACCTTTTTTTTTTTTTTTTTTGAAGATCAGCCAGATAAGTAATTTCGTGGAAAATAAAACCCTGACGCTCAACGTAAAACATCACCGCTGCCACAGCCAGCTTTGCACGGAAAAAAAAAACCCCAACCCCTCCATGTTCCCTATGCAAGCGGAACTAACGGCAGTTCTCCCAACCGGCAGCGAGGGGAGGGCGGTCAGCACAGCGTCGCCTGCTTCGCCTCTCCCCGTGGC